GCGGTTCGGCGACAAGCAATCAGAATAAAGACGTCCACCGCTTGATAGCAGTTCAGGGAACACAGACCTGTGAACTTTGGTTCCGACCACAGTTGTTCCCAAGGGTTTGATTATTGCGGTCGCCGGATTTCCAATTATTTACAATGTTTTCTTACAGGAACATTAAATAAGTTACTGGCGAGTTACTGATGTTCATTAATGTTATATAAATTTATCTTAAAAAAGCGGGAATCTCACGCGATGTGACCGTACAAAACAGTACTGCTGCTTCAGGATATTTCAGACATATGGACACATATTGGATAAATAGAGCAAAGCCACACCACATGCAACTTGATCTTCCATTGTTATATGAATTTGATAAGAAGTGCGCAACATTTTCACGCTAAAAACATGTCTTATGCAGGAATGTAACTGATAATGCTGCAACGGCTCCTTTAAAGTACGAGATCAATGTAGCGATTTTTGACGCTCTCGCGCCGGAGCTGAAGGCAGACAGCGTTGTCGCCAGGGCGGCCAGAGCCACCTTGGACGCTCTCGCCGCTTTCGGTGTGAACGTACGGTAAGGATTTTAATTAACCAAGAAACAGTTCAGAATACAAACAAAGTTTGACTAATAAGCTATTAAGTTAACTGAAACCATCTCGGCACAAAACATTATCAAATTTGTAGCTTTAGCAAACATTAGTAATATTATTGCAATAAAGACCTAACAGTGTGTTTTATATTTGATTACATTGCATTGCTAATTTACCTTAATGTTGTTAGACTATGTAGAAAACCAGAGCAGGGACTGTCTATTTCATGTATTATCTTAGGTCTACTGTGTTTATTTATGCTTGAAATTGGTTTATTGTATTTTAGAATAAACACACTCCCAACAAAATGATCACAATAAAAGTAAAATTGAGAATTCTTTTCAAATACAGTTATGCAAATCATCTTGTGAAATGACAATGATTTCCCAATATCCATCACTGAAAAAGCAAATATTAAAAGGTCAGTTTTTTTCTAATATCGTGCAGCCCTAGTTTGATGACTAATTTAAAAGGAGCATTCTAATTCACATACGTGCACTTTAGTCTTTGCCAGTGTACAGTATACGAAGTGCACAAAGTTCTCTATGAAAATTCACAAAACTCTTTTCCAGAGTATCAGGAAGGTGAGAGGCAGAGTTCATATACTGGAGCTGCACAATTAATAGAAAAAAGATCGCGATCTCGATTCGACCCCCTAGACAATATTAATCCAGCATTTCTACGATTCTGCCAAGCATATTTTCAAGTTCAGGAGAGAAGCAAAGGCGGCTGCACGAGACTTTTCATTGTTTCACACATGTTGCGCAGCAACATGGACAACTCCAAATAAAGTTAAAAGAGTCACATACTGTATTTATAAGGTATAATTCACCTAAAAATGTCATTTTTGTCTTCATATAATGCTGTATTTGCGGCCGGGATATCACACGTGACGTGAGCTGCTGACTGTGCGGGCGCGCGCCCTACTTAATGATAGACGTGCGCGCGTCTACTTTAGTGAACAGAACCTGCATATGCTGTGAGTAACAGGTAATAAAGTTGTAAATAATATTCAGTTTGTGGCACAGAGTGATCATTTGAGAGCCGCGCGGGAAGTATGAACAGCACTCAGCAGTGAAAATGAAACCGAAAGCGCGCACATTATTTAAATAACCATATCGCATTTCAGAGTTATGACTGCAACAAACATTTGATAAGTTTTTCTTTCATAGCGAACACACAGCTGTGCATGAAAATAAATGTTTACAGTGTCAGTATAACTACTCTAGCCAATATAATGTTGATTTTACCAGTGAATTAAATGGTCTAATAACAGATTGCAATATAGGCCTATATCTCAAACATAATTCAACACCAGAATTATTATGAGTAGAATATAAATATTTATAGAAACCAGTAGACCTACACATAATATTAATATTGTTGTTTTACCATATGTTTGAGAAAAAAACAATAATCTCATTTTAAGCTTTATTTTACATCTACAGAATCGTGAGAAAATTGTGATCTTTATTTTAAGCAAAAAAAAATTTGCTTTTTCATTTTAGCCAGAATCGTGCAGCTCTATCTAAACTGTAGAGTGCACAGAGCACTGTTACTGGACATCTGGGACACATATAAATGCTCTGTGTTCCAAAGCCAATCCCAGCACGAATATATATGAAGAAATTCAACCAAAAGGATGGACACTGAATCAAAAAATCCAATATATAAATATTTTATATAAGCAATCTAATGCAGGCATAGACCAGGGGTGTCTAAACTCAGTCCTGGAGGGCCGGTGTCCTGCTGGAAGTTTTAGTTTACCTAGAAAGAGCTTCATTAGCTGGTTCAGGTGTATTTAATTGGGATTATAACTAAAATATGCAGGACACTGGCCCTCCAGGACCAAGCTTGGCCACCCCTGCCATAGGCAATCTAAATCTGAATATGCTTAAACTGTACAAGTAAACAATTTTCTAATGGTAAAAATAACTGAAATTAAACTGGTTTCAGATCTATTTCTTATTGAGTTGACTTAAGGCTGATTCATAATTGACACTGATGCGCACCTCTCAAAATATTTAACAACACATTGCAATGTAGCTCAAGCTCTGTGTATAAATGCACAACTACACACTATGCATGCGCCGTGGGTCACGCCAATCACTTGACACAGTGTCAATAAGCCTAAAGAGGATGCTCACTTTGGACCCTTTCATTTCCGATATGTTTTTGTATTCTACTGTGCTGCTGAGATTAGAGCTGTGGCAATACATCCATCGAGAAAAGATTCTGCTACAATTCTGAGTATCTCTAAGTGTGTTTATACACTAGTACTAGGTCCGCACCTAGGTTCGTTTGACATCAGAGTACGGTATGTTTAGCTAGTGTGAAAGTGTCTTCTGAACTCGGGTGCGCACCCACAAACTGTACCCAAGTCTGCCTGAAAGAGGTGGCCTGGGGTACGGTTCACGCAAACTCTGGTACGGTTCACTTCTGGTGTATATGCAATTGTACCAAGTAACAGAAGTGAACAGCCAACTGTACAACAAACTTTAGTTTTCATAACGTTCATGCATGTTTGTGTGTATATCAAGTACTGTACCTTGGAGACAAGCAGACTGAGCCTAGGCAAACATAGTGATAATGTCCTCCAAAAAACGCTTCTGTAGACATTGGGTTTATTATATTTTTGCAGCAGATAGACAAGGGTCGCTTTCTGTATGTCTAAAACCAAAAGATTTAGTAAAAGCAGAATGACAGTGCACACGTCTTTACGTCATCAGCAGCTCGATGATGCAAGCGTAATGGGGTTGAGAAGGAAAAAAGACTGTGTGAATCACAAAACAACCGAGAAGATGGCAAGGGGGGGACAATCGAACTTGGGTACGGTCCAGGCAATTAAACCAAGTGTAAAAGCACCCTAAATGCATTACGATTCTCTCTTGAATCAATTCTACACTTTACAAATAGCCATACTCTGCTTGCGTCCAATGTTTACATGAAGTTTACATGAATCACAAGTTTATTCACAGTAGTGCCGAGTTCAGGTTGCATGACTATCTGAGCTAGCGTTTCGTCGCTGCTTTGTTTACACTGCAAGATGGATCGGCGACAGGGACTTTCACATTGCATGACTTTACTATAGGAAGAATCGCCGACAACTTCGTCCAAACGACGTCTCACAGCCAAAAACATGTAGTATATCTATTGTCATTAACTACATAATGAGAAGAAGCCTTTAATGGGGTAGAACATGTACATGTTTGCTCACCTGGGTTTCAAGGGAATTAGCCATTTCTCCTCAACGTTGATAATAAACTAATTTCTTTCTGTATGAAACGTCAAACAGACACGGTTGCTCCTGAATCCTGTCAAACCTCCACTAGTTTTTCCTCCATTTCGTGGGTCCAAATAAACAGAAAAAGAGCGCTTTTAACTTCTCCTCCTGCCTCCCGCTGGCCTGCAGCAGGTATACACACACACACGCAAGTGAAAGCTGCTCTCTCATTGGCTGTAGGCGATCGCTGATGTTATTTTCAGTCAAAACTCAATTCACACGACATGATTTGAATCGCCGACAGCTCCAGATATTTAGCACACCAAATATCTCACAGGCATCAGCGACTCATCGGCGATTCTCTCAGATCGCATCTTTGAAAGTTCATCCAGTGTGATTGTCACTCACATGCACGAGCAGCGATTTGCCTGTGATTTCAGGCATTTGTCGGCGATTTCTCAAAACCTGTCATCGAGATAAAAATCTGGGCTAAAATCACGCAGTCTAAACTAGGCATAAGCTGTTTACATTCATTTCATTTAAATCTCAATTCACATCACTCAGCCAAGCAATCAAGTGCTTGTGAGCATGAGTATAGTTAAAAAATCATCTAGAATGTCATCTGCTGTTTTAAAACTGAGCTCAGAATCAATTCAAGAGAATCACGATGCATTATGGAAACCTCAGAATTGATGCAGAATCATTTCTTGATTCGATTCGTCGCCACAGATCTGCTATAAATGTGCCTCACGCATAATGGCACTGAAGTTATAAGCCCACAATTCTATCAACAGGATTTTATCCCTCTACTCCACAGTTCACATCTCGCCTTTTCCAAAGCTTATATAAACATTGTGCTGCAACGCTGCTAATTTCTCTGATAATTTACAATAAAACTGAATTAATGGCATTTTGTTCTCCACCGATACATCTGAGTGTAACAAATTATTAAAAAAGACAAGCATTAAGATTTGTGGCACTTTGAGCAGTTGGTAAATGGATGTTGATATGAAAGAGTTGCGCTCAAAAGTGGAGTCAGATGACTGTGAGCTTGTGAAAGCAAATTGAACTAGACTAAATGATTGGAAAAGCCTCGAAAATTCAAATTATTACAAGTCAAAACATCAATCAACAGGGTGAGGTTTAACTTTCTGATTTAAAACCAAGCTTAATCTAAAAACAAAAGTTTTAAGACTTACAGTTTAATGTGACACTGTTCGACGTCCACCCTGGCCAGCTCATCCTCCTCTACGTCGCTCTCTCCTCCTGAACTGCTCTCGGTGGCATCAGAGTCAAACTGACTCTCTGCTGCATGCAGATGTGTGGTGCCGCTGAGATGCAGACTATCCAGCTCTGACGCCACCCTGCCACCCTTCAAAAACCGATTCAAATGATGTGCGTGCGTTTCCACTGAAGTGCGTGACCCTCTCCAGGCTCCAGGGTCTCCTCTACGACTAGATGTTGGGGTCAGAGTACGCTCAAGAAAACCAGAGAGCTGCTGTTTGAAATGCCGCTCCACCTGCTTGGCCTGTACCACCTGCAGCCGCTTGCGGAGACGCAGCAGGCGGCTCTCGATGTCTGTTTGCCTCTGTTGGCTCTGCTTGGCCCGATCCCGGAGCAGTACCTCCAAGTTGGGTGTCGGTATGGTCGAGTCATCCTGAACTGGGGATGAGCTACGAGACGAGGGGCAGTTTTCAAAGCTGACATCATTGTTGCTGTTTGTTTCGATGCGCAGTCCACCAACAGGAGTCCCTGGTTCTGCTTTGACCTCTGCACTTTCAGTCAAAGCAGTAAGCTCCCTGTGTGATGACACACCTTGAATGCTCGGTGTCGAATTCTGTTGTGGCTTCACATCTCCATTCTGTCCAGACTTTGACTTTGAGGACACGGATAGCAAAGCTTCCCCGTTGGTGGATGGTTGGTTGCTGTCTCCATTGACTGTGGCGACGCTACCTTTCTCCGCCACCGCAGCTCTAGGCACAGCCACTTTCTTGGAGAGTCCGTTCACAGGCACCATGGTACTCCCAGCTCCGCCACCGTTGACCAGGCTCTTCAGTTGACCTCCAGTCAGCTCAAGATGGTGACGCTTGCGCAGAAGAAAGTCTCCGCCTGCAGCAGCGCTTGGAAATATGGAGCCGCTTAACAGGCCGTGGCTCTTTAGCACTGACTGCTTAATGAGGACACCTTGCAGCTTCAGCGACTCCTTGACTTTGGTGGATGAGGGCAATGGTTTGACATCAGAGCACAAGTAAGGTGCCAGCTTGCCCAGAGATGGGGCTTTAGACAGGGGATCCTGATCCTTGACGCTGTGGTAATGGGTGTCGTTGGAATTGATGTGACACTTGCCGTTGCTGTGGCTTCCGGCGGAGTCCGAGACGGAGTCTGAGATGAGGATGTTGCTGGCGTTGCTGTTGTTCTCTGTGCTGCCGGGGGACAGGGTGGACGAGGGAGAGGCGAGTTTGAAGCGGATGTGGCGGGCTTCGGCTGGGGCGTCAGTCAGAGCGGGCGCCATCGCAGCCATGCAGGGCCAGGGAAGGGGCACGGCAGCCTGCACCTCTAATCCTTCACTCCAGCCCACCTACACAGCCTGGCTACACAGCACAAAAAAAAAAACAAGATTTAGGAGACCGCGGATAATCAGAACATTTGTAAACATGTTTCATCACTATACTGATTTTAATTAACTTTTAATAATGTTCTGCAGAGAACAAGTACATTTCATTTCACCAAAGAGAAAAAAAAACAACAGATTTAGACAATCCAGAGAAGCAGCTCGACAAATGCATTGCTATAACCTGCCTATTAAAATGCAATAATTGAGTGTTTTACCATTTATTCAACTGAACTTTTTTGAAAATATCATTAATTAGAGATTTTAAGAAAACGTGATTTAGTGCAACTTATTTAATGCATCAGATTTTGGAGCCTTTTAATAGTAAAATACTTTAAAACACAGCTCCAGGGTAGGTTCAATATTCTTTGTCTGTAACTGAGGCCCAAGATCATAAGTTTAGATATGATACTGGAAGTGATACTGGTCTCACGGTTCGGTTACGATTATCATGCCATCGATTCGGTTCAATTCGATATCTCTCATTCAAACACATTCACAAACATAGACAGCATCAAACAAACACACACACGCACACACACAAACAAACACACTTAAGCCCTTGCAACAGGGAGAGCTCGCGCTGAGCAGAAAAACGAAAAAAAAAAAAAAACGAAAAAGATAAGCACTTTTCCGACGGTCCCTTACAGAGAGCTCCTCTCAGCGCGAGCTCTGCCGGCTAAAGTAAACGCAGACTGCGAGGGCTTAAACGGAGCAGTGCTCGTAATGTCGAGCGAAAAAAAGAAAGACAGCTGTGAAACATAACCAGCTTTGTCTTTCTGTAGGAAACACACTTTAGATCTTTTTAGGGTAAGCGTTTGTTGAGTTATTGCCGTCTGTAACTGAAAGTGTGTCAGGAAAATCGAAAACAAAACCAACCGAAGCGCGCTCATTTCTGGCGCCCCACTGGATATACAGCGCCCTAAGCATTTGCCTATGGTGCCTATGCCACGGGCCGGCCCTAAGTTGGCTGAGTGTTGTAAAAAATGGCGCTCACCTCCCTCGCGACAGAGCGCATCGGAGATAAATGACGTCACTACATAATAACCGGTTATGGTTATTACTGAATCGATACCGAATTGTCTGCGTCTGCATCGCGGTGCACCGAAGAAACAATTAATTTTGACACCCCTAATATATATATATATATATATATATATATATATATATATATATATATATATATATATATATATATATTCGACAGTAAAGACTATTAACAACTATTAACATCATGCATTAAAGTAAATGAGAAAAGCAGTTTGCAATCCACTGAACTTCAGTGATCTGTTAAAACAAGATATCAGATGGGAATATTTTCATGAAATCTTATCACAGATGATATCTTAAGATGTTTTTTACAGCAGGGCCAAGAGCACAACCCATTTGGAGCCTCAAATTCGGGAAGCATTCATGAGCAAAAATACCTGAAACACAACTGCACCCTCTGACCAATATTCCTTCTTCAAAGCTCAAGCCTGCAGCATAATTAGCTTTGGAACAAGGAACATAGTTTTGGGAGGGAAACTCCTTGGAATAACATGAACCATTGAACCAATCACAACAAGAACAGGAAAGCGCATTAAACAATAAATGGGTCAACTGTGCTAAAATATTGACTTGAGCTAAATTTGTCTCAATCCAATGCATAAACACAAAGAAATACAGGCCAGAAGATAACTAGAGATAACAGAGTGAATGAACACAAAACAGGAATTCATGTTATCGGCGATTGTTAGTTGAATTTTATCTGGCCTGATGCTCTTAACCTCAAAGCAAAAAAAGGGAATGAGAACTCGTTGACCTCAACTGAGAGGAGACCATTACCACAGGAGTTAGTAGGGAAAGACCGGCTCTACTCAAGCTTATGTAAGAGCCAGCGAGCCTCCTCATTGTCCCCTCCTCCTCAGCAGACCATCTGTGTCAACGGAATTAGGGATATGCCTTTAGGCCTCGACAGATAAGAGACTATCTCTGAGTATGAGTATGTAGAAGGTTCGGCTCATGAATGCCTTACAATAACCATACCTCAACTGCAGAAAAAAGACGCTTATGAATTTTACAACTAATACGGATGGAATTTCAATTCAGCAATGGTACGCCATATTACTTGCCAGTAGTCTTGAATGAAAAGTAAACCCAGCTAAAAGAATAGCTCACCCAAAAATGTAAATTTACTCATCCTCAAGTGATTCCAAACCTTTACAGGTTTTTTTTTCTTCTGTTAAACACTAGTTATTTTAAAAAGATGTTAGACAACTGTAACCACTGACTTCCATAGTAGAATAAACAAATACTATGGAAGTCAATGGTTACAGGTTTCCAGCATTTTTCTAAATAACTTCTTTTGGGTTCAATACAAGACAGAAACTCAACCAGGTTTGAAACAAATGAATGATGAGCAAATGATAGCAAAATATTCAGTTTTAGGTGAACGGCTTTAATTAGGCAAAGCTTTATTTATCCCAATACTGCACGTGATAATACATGATGTGTACTAACCTTAACTAATATATATATATATATATATATATATATACACAATTGCGTGACATCTGATGAAACTGGTCATGTGATGTCAACATGGTGGTGCCCATGAGGGGGCGACCCGCTGCATACGAAATCAAACGGCTTTTTCATCAACACAAATGCTTAAGTAATACTCAATTTCTTTATAACCAATTACTGAGAGCAACTTTTATCCATAAACATGAAAACATAACACAATACCAACATATATAACAAGATATATATAACAACATACACACAGCGTGTATCGCCTGAGAGTTATTTGAAGCACCTAACTAGGTTAATATGTCAAAGTAGTAAACAAGACAAATCCGGTAAAGGTTTACCAAAGAATGAGTGAACCAAGTGAAGGTGAAGCACTCAAGGTCTGAGTTATGAATAAAGTCAAATTATTCATCCGCATGACTGCGATAAGAGCTCTTCAGTACAATTAAAAGGAAGTCTTACAGGAACAACGCACTTCAGATCGATAAAAATAAAAACGTGTAAAGGGTAAGAGTTAATAAACGTTCACAAAAGCAAACACAATAACTAACGTTGATGTCCAGCTCACTACATTTTAAAAGCACAAGGCAATTCTCTGAGTTATGCTTGGAAACAGACCGCATGAACATTTACATCACTTCCGTGCATTAATGAAGGAACTAGTCATGAAATACAGTAGAAGAGGGATAAATCGTTTTAATGCATTGCTGAATGCCTCATACAGTAAGCAGAAGCATTACAGATAATGTGCTCTCACGCGGCCTTGCTTGTTATGCAAGCCATATTTACCACCAATTTTATGTGAACCAACCGGCTTACAGCCAATAAGTTCAGTGCAGTGAAACGAGGACGTGAAATAGCATTTAAACCAGCGTAATACACACGTCCTTTGTCATAATTAGGACGGGAATGAAATAACACAGAGCGCACGCGTGTTTATTGCACGGGCAAGTAGCAGATAGTATTTGTTAAGCAACCGCACGGTCTCTCAAAACGCCGTAAATTAAAATGTACATCAAAACACTTCTGCATTCAACAGCTCGTGGTTAAAGCAGTTAAAATGGAGGCTTGGACGGGTGTGCAGGATTAGGTTTATGTAACATAAGTGCTGCTGCTGCTACAGATCGTCCACTAACAAAGAAAAAGGAGGAACCTACCACGTGACGGGCGCGCGATCCGAGGGAATTTCGGCAACTATTCCACCGACCTTTGGCTTCAACAGCACAATAATGTCACCAAAGCACAAAACCAGCCGTTTGGTCAAGCAGCCCCGCCGCCTTCGCCATATCCGTGTCCGCTTCGTCAAAAAACACCCCGGTTTCAGGAACCCTTTTCGTTATCGGCTCCGGAATCGCGAAATGGGCGATACTAGACAACACCTTGCTGCTGCTGTCCGCTTCTGTGGATTGTGGAAAGCAAATGTATATTTTTTCAGTATATTATGAGTCGATGTTTTGCTCGGGTACGAGTTCTTTTCATAAACGCCTTTATTTACAGATCGGAGGTGCCACAGACCACCGGTTTCGAGATCATTTTCTCATCGTTGGAGGGAGAAACGCACGAAAGATGGCGCCTCGTTCGTCTCCCTTGGATTTGAGCCTGACAAATACAGATGCAGAGCGTGTAGAGAGAAGCCTGTAGGCGGGAGACATGCTCACACCCGCCGCTAGAGTGAGCAGAGCGGCGCTTCAGACAGCGACCGCTGGGGGGCGCCACGAATAGGGACTCGATGGTGTCACTTTTGGGAAAAACACATTGCATGTGCATATGAAGAATGTATGTATATGAGGTCAGAATTATTAGCCCCCCCTGAATTATTAGCCCCCTGTTTATTTTTCCCCAATTTCTGTTTAACAAAGAGAAGATTTTTTTTAACACATTTTTAAACATAATAGTTTAACAACTCAATTCTAATAGCTGATTTATTTTATCTTTGTCATGATGACAGTAAATAATATTTGACTAGATATATTTCAATACCCTTTTATACAGCTTAAAGTGACATTTAAAGACTTAACTAGGTTAATTAGGTTAACTAGGCAGGTTAGGGTAATTTTTCAAGTTATTGTATAATGATATGATAATGATATAATGTTCTGTAGACTATCAGAAAAAAATAGCTTAAAGGGGCTAATAATATTGATCTTAAAATGGCTTTTAAAAAATAAAAACTGCTTTTATTCTAGCTAAATAAAACAAATAAGACTTTTTCCAGAAGAAAATAATATTATCAGACATACTGTGAAAATTTCCTTGCTCTGTTAAACATCATTTGGGAAATATAAAAAAAAATCAAAGGGGGGGGGGGGGGGGGGGGGTGAATAATTCTGACTTTAACTGTATGTTAGGTTTATCCTTGGACCATTTTTATTTGTGTTCATGGCATTTCCCATACATAATCATTACATCAATGATCAAATTTGCTCCAAAGTCTTATTAATATTGTATAGCAAAAAATACATACAAGATGGTCTGATCCTAAATGATCTCATCCAGACTGTTCTGGAAATACTCCACAACATTACAGTCCATGATGTCATGCTGAGCTCATTTAAACAACACACTGACACACACTATCCCACAATCAGGACACAGCATATTATTAGATCATGTATAATGCAATATATATTATATTATATTATATTATATTATATTATATTATATTATATTATATTATATTATATTATATTATATTATATTATATTATAATATATTATATTATATTATATTTTTATATATATTATATCCTATTATATTATATTAAATTATATTATTTCTTATTATATTATTTTTATTATATTATATAATATTATATTATATTTTTATATTATATTTATTGTATTATATTATAATATATCCTATTATATTATATCCTATTATATTATATTATTTTATATTGTCATTCATTTATTCATTTTCTTGTCGGCTTAGTCCCTTTATTAATCCGGGGTCGCCACAGCGGAATGAACCGCTGACTTATCCAGCCGTTTTTTTTTTACACAGCGGATGCCCTTCCAGCCGCAACCCATCTCTGGGAAACTATATTATATAATATAATATTATATAATATTATATAATATTATATTATATTATATTATATTATATTATATTATATTATATTATATTATATTATATTATATTATAATCAGAAAATCTGCCCAATGCAATTATTTATTTATTTATTTATTTATTTATTTATTTATTTCATGTGTGATTTTTCATTTCTAAGCATAAATTACACAATTTATAACTAAATCATTTTAACATAATAATAAAAAATTTAACGTTGTCCGCATTTAAAATCACGTAAGTAAAAGATAAGATTTATATGCATGTTACTGTAGTTGTCTTTCCAGTTTTATAAAAACACGCATCAGTGACATCAGCAGTTAGGAAAAACGTCATATAGACGTGTCGTCACAACTACAAAATAGCGGCACGAAATTAACACTGATGAACGTTAAACCACTGCTCGTATACAAATTAAATAAATTTGTTATTTAGAACTTTATTGTCCAATAATGGGTATATCCGAAATGCTGTCATTTATTTTCTTTCTTTCTTTGTGTTTTATTTTGTAGTTTGCTCTTGATCTTGCAATGGTGCTGTTAAACTGCGCCATCTGCAGTTAGGATGAGAGACTAGACAGAGAACAGGTTTACAGTCCTCCAAACAAATAAAGTGACTAAGCCGAAAAGAAAATGAATGAATGAATGAATGAATGAATAGTTTAAACAAGCAACAAAACTATTTATTTGAGTGAAGATAACAAAACAAAATAACAAAACATAAACCTCCAATTAAACATCTCCATTAAGTTAAAATGAGTCGTTTTAAAACATTTAACATCCTTTAAAACAATGACAAAAATGATTCATTGTGTTTACCAGAGTTTTTTTTTTTTAAGTAAGTGGTTTTAAACATCTTATATGGACTTAAACATTACTAAATTTATTTCGTTTGTTTAAAATCAGCCTATATCAACTCATTGCAACCACTAAGCTTATTTTAAATCCAATAAATCATTTGTTTTCAAAAAACAAACATTCACTGCAACATTCAGGTCCAAACTGAAACCTTTCAGATGTTAAAACCATGAAAATACATGTACCTGTACAATTTGTGATGTTCTGCAGGTTTTCCAAGGCTGTCTAAGAAAAAAAAAACCTGCAGAACACCAGAAATGGTTGAACAGTACATATATATATATATATTCATGATTAGTCAATAAACCTTTACACACGGCTCTGAAACTGCTCTGAGGTTTAATTCCAGTGAGGTTAGTTTTGCCCGTTCGGGTCACCTTTACTATTCGTCTTCTGGCCTCTGACACTCTTCTGCAGGCTGTTTCTGCTCCTCCTTCCCTCCCACACGTTGAGAAGTAACCCTATATATATTAGAGGATCACTGTGTGCTTCCTTACAGGCTCTCCTCAGCTCACTACAGCACGAGTCACACACAGACAGACAGATAGACACAAAGATGCCAGAAGAAGTTCCTGCTCAGTGCAAACTCCCCAAAGAGGAGCTGGACAAATGGTGAGTCAATAATGCAACATTTAGAGGTCAACACTTTAAGCTTATCTGTTTTTTTTATTATTATTATTATTGTTTTTTTTTACTGGAAATGTACATGCTTTAAATGAAGAAACTCATCAATACTGATTACAAAACCACTGTGTACACTGGTGATCAAAAGCGCAGACGATTAATACTAACTCAGTTTTTTAAAAGACCCTCATTGCTAACAAAATGACAATAAAACAGCAGAATTGTGAAATGTTATCACAATGTTGAACAGAACTCTGTACTTATTTTTAAATATCTTGGATTTCCTGTGATGTAAAACTGAATTTTAAGCATCTTACACCTGCAGACACACATGATCTTTGAGAAATCAATCTGATATCAATTTACCAATGTTGAAAACAGCCGTGGGGCGAAACAGTAGCGCAGTAGGTAGTGCTGTTGCTTCACAGCAAGAAGGTCGCTGGGTCGCTGGTTCGAGCCTCGGCTCAGTTGGCGTTTCTGTGTGGAGTTTGCATGTTCTCCTTGCGTTCACGTGGGTTTCCTCCGGGTGCTCTGCTTTCCCGCACAGTCCAAAGACATGCAGTAAAGGTGAATTGGGTAGGCTAAATTGTCCGTAGTGTATGAGTGTGTGGATGTTTCCCAGAGATGGGTTGCGGCTGGAAGGGCATCCGCTGTGTAAAAACTTGATGGATAAGTTGGCGGTTCATTCCACTTTGGCAACCCCGGATTAATAAAGGGACTCGCCGACAAGAGAATGATGATGATGTTGAAAATAGTCGTACTGATCAATATATTAGAGGAAACAATTAACTGCATGACATATACCAAAAGTTTGCAGTAAATAATAATAGTAAATAAAAATACTCTTAATCCAGCAAGTGCTCATTATTTAATTCAAGTGACAGTAAATATGATTGAATTGTTTGCATGTATAAATAAATAATACATAAATACATTTTATGAAAAAAGAAAACAATTATATATATATGCACAGTTGAAGTCAGAATTATTACCCCCCTAATTATTAGTTGCTTATTTTTTTTTCTCAAATTTCTGGTTAATATTATTTTTCAAGACACTTCTATACAGCTTAAAGTGACATTTAAAGGCTTAACTAGGTTAATTAGGCAGGTTAGGGTAATTAGGCAAGTTATTGTATAATGTTGGTTTGTTCTGTAGCATACTGGAAAAAATGAGCTTAAAGTGGCTAATAATATTGACCTTAAATGGTTTTTAAAAAATTAAAAACTGCTTTTATTCTTGCCGAAATAAAACAAATAAGACTTTCTGATAAAAGAAAAGAATAAAAATATAATCAGACATACTGTGAAAATTGCCTTGCTCTGTTAAACATCATTTGGAAAATATTTAAAAAAGAATATTAAATTCAAAGGGGGGCTAATAATTCTGAATATATAAAAGGCGCTGATGAATATATATTCTATAAAACTTTGTGTCAATAAAATGATCCTAAAAATGTATAGAACAAACACCAAGCAGTAAAAACTGTATAGTAAAATCCACTGTTATTATTTAAGCATATTTAAAGGGGTAATTCACCCCAAAATGAAAATTACATCATCATTTACTCACCATTTACTTGGTCCAAACCTTTATGATTTTTTTTTCTGTGTAACACCAATATATTTAGAAAAAAATAAAATGTCGGAAACCGGTAACCCTTTGCTTAGTCTTTGTTTTTTCTACTATGGAAGTCAATGGTTACCGGTTTTTAACATTTTTTAAAATGCCTTCTTTTTTGCTCAACTGAAGAAAGAAACTCATAAAACACTGGAAATAAAATAATATAAATATTGAGTCTCTTTAAGTATGAATTCAGAATGTTTTAATGATTTCTATCAAGTGGCAAGACTGGGTTAATGATGTGGAAAATCGAAAAATCTATTAAAAACTAATAGTTCTTTATAACAGTAATCATTTATCAAATATATTTCATTGACGAGCAGAAGAAAGTTTCTTCAAAATCAAAACAATTTTATTTTATTACATTTAATCTAGAAAGTCATTGAATAAAGAATATCTGTGGTATGCAAATGACAATTTCCGAAACCTCAGTTAAATGTGTGTTGGATACCGA